TTTATTCAGCATTTTTTGACAGGAGCGTTTTTTGGCTGAAAAAAACCCCCAGAACTAGTGTCGTTCTAGAGGAGTTTTTTTAGCTGTAAAAATGCTCTAACACTGATAAACGTAAAATGCGGTAAAACACGGCAAAGCAGCTTTTTTGAGCTTTTTTTAGGCAAATTTTTTTTCTTTTTAAAAGACACTAATACGGAAAAATGCAGCAAAATGCTAATGCGAAAGCTAAAATATGCTGAAAAACTCACGTTTTGTAATGCGACTTATACAGCTAACAGTACCGGCGTTTTTAAAACGCCCAGTGTGCATAAGGACTATATTTTAGATTACAAAATGTTACTCAAATTAGTTGATGCAAAAATGTATACACCCCTCAACAAAATTAACTACATCTAGTATTTTGTATGACCTCCATGATTTGTAAGGTCAGCACCAAGTATTCTAGGCATGGAATGAACATGTTGGCAAAATATTGCAACATCTATCATTTTCCATTCTTCAAGAACAACCTCTTTTAGAGCCTGGATGCTGGATGGAGAGTGATGATCAACTTGTCTCTTCAGAATTCCCCATAGGTGTTCTTCAGAAATGCAACAGTAGCCTTAGGTGTGTCTTTTGGATCATTGTCATCCTGGAAAAGTGCACGACGAACAAGGGCAAGGAGTGATGGAAGCATCTACTCTTTCATTATAGAGCAGTACATCTGTGAATTCATGATACCATCAATGAAATGCAGCACCCCGACACCAGCAGCACTCATGCAGTCCACAGAAGGACACTGCCACCACCACCATGTTTTACTGTAGGCACCATGCATTTCTCTTTGTACTCCTCACCTTTGTGACACCATACAGTTTTTGGGCCCTGGCAAATTCTAGGCGGGCTTTTTTGTGCATGGGTTTTAGGAGCGACTTCCTTCGTGGACAACACCCATGCATGCTATTCCTCTGCAGTGTACACCGTATTGTGTCACAGGAAACAATCACCCTAGTTTGGCTTTCTACCTCTTTAGCTAACTGCAGTGAACTGCAAGGTGATTTTCTTCAACCCTTCTCATCAGAAGATGCTCCTGTCGAGGTGTTAACTTCCGTGGACGGCCTGGATGTCTTTGTGAGATGGTTGCAGTTCCATCTTTGTTAACTGTTTGTATCACTTTTTGCTATAGTATTCTGACTGATAAGTAAAGTTTTGCTGATCTTCTTGTAGCTTTCACCTTTCTTGTGTAAAAGAAATTATTTTCTTTCTTAGGCCTTGTGACATTTCTCTTCCGTGTGGTGCCACTGCTGACGCCATGAAATGGTAAGGGCTTTTCTTTGTTGAGTTTGTGATCAACAATCTGCTGGACACCTGTTTAATGAATAATTGGACTCATCTGTAGTTGAATTCTTATTACTTAGGATTTTGTTGTCTAAAAGTTATCTTTGCTCCTAAGACTTTCATTGGGGTGTATTCATTTTTGCAACATGGTCTTGAATTAATGTGTTAGGAAAAATACTTTTTTGTGTGTATAAAATTACCAAATCTTGTTTGCAATCAACAGCTTGCATTTTTGGGAGTATTTTGTAGTATAGTGTCCCATAGAAAATGTTGATTCTGAAAAGAAAGTAAAGGTTTTTCTGACAAATCTGTTGGAGTGTACTCATTTATGCTGAGCCCTGTAGCTTCACCTTAAAAACCAAGTTAAATGAAATGTCACTTTGCAAAGTGAATGTGTTCTCTCCTTATAGCAAATCAACCACACTGTGAGTAGCAGAGAGGTCTGAAGCACTGTGTGTAATGGAGAAGTATGAATAATCCCTGTGTTTTGACACATTAGAAAGAGGGTGATATGATGCAGATACAGAAAAGTCTAATAGGGACATGAGGTAGCAGAAGAACATGAAACACTACATGTGACAGAAATGTTTGGAGCACTTCATGTAACAGAGAGGAATAAGGCATTGTGTGTATTGGAGAAGTATGAGATTGAGCTGTGTTTACTGGAATGCATATCTCCTGGGTGTCATGGACACTGGGGAGTGAGCTGTGTGTGGTGAAGTTGACATCATACTGGTGGCATTGACACAGAGGAGTGTGTGTACTGGAGTTCAGATCTCTCTGGTGGCATGGACACAGGAGAGGGAGCTATGTGAACTAGAGTGCAAATCCCACTGGTGACATGGAGACCAGATGTGAGCTGTGTGTACTAGAAAGCAGATCCTATTGGTGACATGGAGACCAAATGTGAGCTATGTATACTAGAGTGCAGATCCCATTGGTGACATGGAGACCATATGTGAGCTGTGTGCACTGGAGTGCAGATCTCACTAGAGACATGGACACAGGGGAGTAAGCTGTGTGCACTGGAGTGCAAATCATACTGGTGTCATTGACACAGGGGAGTGTGTATGCTGGAGTGCAGATCTCTCTGGTGGCATGGACACAGGGGAGTAAGCTATGTGTGCTAGAGTGCAGATACCACTGGACACATGGGGGTTTATTTACTAAAGCTGGAGAGTCCAAAATCAGACTCCCTTCTGCATAGAAACCAATCAGCTTCCAGGTTTCATTGCCAAAGCTTCATTGAACAAGCTGAGGTTAGAAGCTGATTGGTTTCTAAGCTGAAGGGAGTCTGATTTTAGACTCTCCAGCTTTAGTAAATAAACCCCATGGAGACTAGATATGAGCTGTGTGCTGGAGTGCAGCTCTCAGGCTCCATGCACACTGAATGTTTAGATAACGCTCATAAAGTTAGCTGTGTACAGTCACATTAAAAGCGTGAGTTTGTCAGCTTTTTTTAGCATTTTTGCATTAATGTTTAGCAGCGTTTTGCCATGTTTAGCGGCGTTTTGCCACATTTGTATTTTTTTAGCATTTTTTTTGCAAACAAAAACTTTTTAGGTCAAAAAAAGTGCAAATACGTCGGTTTGCAGCATTTTACCACATTTTGCCATGTTTTTCAGAGTTAGAGCGTTTTTACAGCTAAACAACTCCTCTAGAAACCCACTAGTTCTAGGTTTTTTTCCAGCCAAAAAACGCCCCTGCCAAAAAACATTGATAACAGTCTATGTGTGCATGGACACATAGGATAACATGCCGGGGAGTTTACTGGCTGTAAAAAAACGTCAAAAGCCAAAAACAGCCGCTGTAAAAACGTCCAGTGTGCATGGGGACTCACTGGTAGGATGGGCACAGGGAAGTAAGCTGTGTGTGCTGAAGTGCAGATCCTACTAGTGACATGGAAACTAGATGTGAGCTGTGTGTGTGCTGAAGTACAGGAGACCAGATATGAGCTGTCTGCTGGAGTGCATCTCTCACTGGTGTCATGGACACAGAGGAGTGCATCTCTCACTGGTGTCATGGACACAGAGGAGTGAGTTATGTTTGCTGGATTTCAGATCTCACCAATGACATGGAGACCAGATGTGAGCTGTGTGCTGGAGTGCATCTCTCACTGGTGTCATGGACACAGAGGAGTGAGTTATGTTTGCTGGAATTCAGATCTCACCAATGACATGGAGACCAGATCTGAGCTGTGTGTGCTGGAGTGCATCTCTCACTGGTGTCATGGACACAGAGGAGTGAGTTATGTTTGCTGGAATTCAGATCTCACCAATGACATGGAGACCAGATCTGAGCTGTGTGTGCTGGAGTGCATCTCTCACTGGTGTCATGGACACAGAGGAGTGAGTTATGTTTGCTGGATTTCAGATCTCACCAATGACATGGAGACCAGATGTGAGCTGTGTGCTGGAGTCCATCTCTCACTGGTGTCATGGACACAGAGGAGTGAGTTATGTTTGCTGGAATTCAGATCTCACCAATGACATGGAGACCAGATGTGAGCTGTGTGTGCTGGACACGGGGGAGTGAGTTGTGTGTACTGGGGTGCAGATCTCACTGGTGGCTCTGCGTACAAAACTAGTGACTTTTGGAAATGTATACTGTTATAGATGTAGAAAAGTGTACCCACTGCAGAACAGTGTCTACTGGAATGTTACAGGTTTATACTGGCGTCTTATACTCTATCCTCACAAATTTTAAACCTATGTCCAGGTGAATAATGTTAATGTTCTACATAGCTAGGTTTGAATAAATTACTTTATAAAATGTCAACAAAGGTTCAAATGTAACTAAGACCCTTGATGTTACATCATCGGGCCCCTTTGTCACAAGGTGCTGTAATTCTAGACATTCATCATTCCTACGCATTTCCCTCCTCCCAAATGTGCAGCTGTCAAAATGTGTGTGGGCTAGAATTACGTGCCATTCTTCTTTGATGGCACATTACACAGCATAACAGTGCTGGAAATGTACCAGCTTCCCACCTTTACAAACATATTTGTTATTAGAGTCTTTTGTGAGATAGAGTTCAATGAAAATCTGTACATTTAGCTGTACTGTATTACATTCACTTATTTTCTATCAGAAACAAAACGTTAATTAAAATGTTTCTAATTACATTGATTAAAAGGAAAAACAGCAGCTGTAGCTAGATAAAATTAATGGGTCTAAAGCCCCATACACACAATGAGAATATCAGACAAATGATTGTCTTTTTTTGCACGCTAGTCTCATATCGAAAGTGAAGAGGTTACTAAAGCTACGTAAATTCTTGTACGACAGAAAAAAAAAATTGGAAATGATGTAGTGTGTTTGCATTGTATTTTCGGACGAAAGCTGTGCTGATTAAATGAAAATTGTATGATCTGGTATCGTACAAGAAAAATGTTTGTGCTTGTGCCTTCAAATAATTTCGGACGGCAGCTGTGTACTAACGATCAGATTGTCATACGATTGCTTCGAAAGCAGTATTTTTCATATGATTTTCTGATCGCGTGTTATAGGCTTTAGTTGTTAGTGTGAGATAAACAGGGTCATATAAAATGGGTATAAAATGGATTAAAAAACTATGACTGATTCAGTGACCTATTAGGCAGCGATATTAGGCCTAAAACGTAGGAGTGGAGCCTACAGAACTGGGTTTAACTGTCCCCCCCCAGGGACGGACTGACAACTCATGGGGCCCCCAGGCAATAGGGGATCATGGGGCCCCTGTGTCCTTGCCCAAACTCAAAAAAGCCTACGAAAAAGGTACCAGGGGCATCTCATGGGGCCACCTACTGAGCCAGGGCCCTCGGGCAGTGCCCGAGTTTCCAAATGGTCAGTCCGCCCCTGGTCCCCCCGCATCCATTGCCTGTGTGCACTCCCTGGGAGGAAACAGTAGAACACCGATCGCTGTATGGGACCTCTGTGTGACCTCTGTGTGAGGTCCCGATTCATGTGATCACTGATTGGCTAATCAGTGATCACATGAATAGTAGTAAACAAGATGTCACTTCCTGACATCATTGCTTACTTGTCAGTAACTTCCCACTCATCCTCTCCTCATTTTTTAATGGATTTTGAGGACACTGGCAGGGTTTCAGGGTCCTTTAAGCTGGTCATTCTAGTAAAAAAGTAAACTGGGCCCATCTTAAGAACAAATTCTTTAGTGGCAGTGAGATGATTAGTTATTCTGTCGCTATACCTGCAATTAATTAGGCAATTGTCCATGTATTGCAGCTTGAGGGCAATTGTAGATGTTTACACCTATATTGAGTAAAAACCTAAAGTGATTGTAAAGGCAAAAGGCTTTTTACCCTAATGAATTCCCTGCTTCCCCCCCTCCCCAGCCCCCCATAAACACTTACCTGAGCCCGATCTTGATGTAGCACTGTGCCCAAGAGCAGCTGCTCTCTCCCTCCTGGCTCCTGCTGCTGTCAATCAAATCCTGTAAGGAGAAAGCAGGGGTTGAGGTCGAGCAATGCTGCGTGTGTCAATGAATACAGAAAGCCCAGCTTTGGATCAACCCTGCACTAGTGCCCCATAGCAAGGGACTTCCTGTAGGGTCACTCAGAAGGAGGGGAGGGGCCAAGAGTTCTGGCAGGGGACCCCAGAAGAGGAGGATCAGGGCTGTTTTATGCAAAACCATTACACAGTGCTGGTGAGTATGAAATTTTTGTTATTGTTAAGAAATGCATTTACAATCTATTTAACCCCCTCCCGCCCACCTTATAATGAGAGGCAATGACAGGAGCGTGGTGGTTCTCTCATTCTGGGAGGACATCATATGATGTCCTCCCACTCTAACTGCATGTGCGTGCCCCCAGGGGTGCTCAGCATGGCGATCAGTGGTGCGCTGTGTCCCTGGGACACTTCGGCTCTGTCATGTGATCAGCTGTGTCCAATCACAGCTGATCGCATGTAAATAAGGAAATGCTGGTTATTGGCATTTCTCTCCTCACAAGCTGTCACGGCATTCCTCAGACGGGACATGTACACTGATCATCAGGGCACTGACAATCAGTGCCCTGATGATCAGTGTATCCCCATCAGTGCCACCTGTCAGTGTCTATCAATGCCACCTGTCATTGCCCATCAATGCCACCTGTCAGTGCCCATCATGCACATCAATGCCACATATCAGTACCTACCAGTGCAAATCAATGCCACATATCAGTGCCCATCAGTGCTGCCTGTCAGTGCCCATCAGTGCCACCTAAAAGTGCCAGTCAGTGCCGCCTATCAGTGCCAGCCAGTGCTGCCTATCAGTGCCATATATGAGTACTGCCTTTCAGTGCCCATCAGTGATGTCTGTGAATGCCCTCCAGTGATGCCTGTCAATGCCCATCAGTGCCACTACCAGTGCCTACTTCAGTGCCCATCAGTGCCACATATCAGTGCCCATCAGTGCAGCATATCAGTGTCCATCACTGCAGCATTCATTAGCGCACATCAGTAAAGGAGAAAAATTACTCATTTACAAAATTTTATAACAAAAAAACTATGAAAAAAACTTTTTTTTCCAAAATCTTCAGTTGTTTTTGGTTTGTTTATCAAAAAATAAAAAACCCAGTAGAGATTAAATACCACCAAAATAAAGCTCTATCTGTTTCAAACAAACTATAAAATTTTCATATGGGTACAGTGTTGCATGACCGTGCAATTGTCATTCAAAGTGCGACAGTGCTGTAAGCTGAAAATTGGCCTGGGCAGGAAGGGGGTGAAAGTGCCCGGTAGGCAAGTGGTTAAAGTGCTTTTTTGGGGAATTTGGACTCAAAACGTATTGTGTTTGATTTGTTATTTGTATTGATTGTTAATAAAAGGCTGCTAAGGCCATTAAGTTCAAACTGGTGTCATGTGCTTCTTTTAAGGTGCGGTATTGAAGTAAGGGTCAAGTACTCAAGAAGAAATATAATTCTCAACACCCTAATCATGGAATCTGATTGTAGTGTGTTTTCATTTTTCAGCATAGATATCTGTAAATTGTTTATTTAATTGGGTTTTATTTTAGAGATAGATAGATATAGATAGATAGATAGATAGATAGATAGATAGATAGATAGAGATAGAGATAGATAGATAGATAGATAGATAGATAGATAGATAGATAGATAGATAGATAGATAGATAGATAGACATTATTAGGGGTTGTTTTTCTAAACTTCTTGTAGCTTACCAAATAAATTGAAGATGTTTTTGGTTTGGTTACCTAATCATGTGCAATGGAAATGGGAAAAATAGGATTGTTACCTGTCCAAGCTAAGCTAAGTGAACACTGAGTTTCCAAAGTTAACCTATACTTTAATTAGTGAACAGTCTGTAGTCTTTTAGTAAATCAACTTCACTGAATCTGAAGCTTACAAGATTGCTGGAAAGCAATTACTTTTCACAAGAGTGTATAAACTTTGCTATACAAGTGCTATATTTAATAAATCATACCCATACTGATAGCAAAGTAGAACTGAATATGAGTTCACCTTATGACTTCTCAGCAAATTTTGTCTACGGTTACACTAAAGCAGAGTTTCTCATCCAGGGTTCCTCCAAGGGTTGCTAGGGGGTCCTGAAGCAATGAGCAATTTCTGCCTCCCAAATAAGTTCCCACTGACACCATTAATCTTTTCAGTTATCTGTAAGGGGGGAACTCTTCCCAATGACCACAAATGTAAGGAGCATTCTTCCCACTGACCATGTCACTAATTTACCATGAGTTGCAGATATAGTAATTTTTAGCAGGGGTTCCCTGAGACTGGAAAGTTATTTGAAGGGTTCCCTTGTGTTGAGAAGGTTGAGAAAGTCTGCACTAAAGTAAAATTCTACATGCAGGCCTATAACAACACATAAAAAACAAAGCCTTAACAAAATATTTGCTCTATAACGTAACAGCCCTTTCAATGGAATTACACAAATATAACACTGAACGTAAAGTATATCTAAAGACTATTTTTTTTTTCTTTTTCTGGATATAGTAGGAAAGGGATAAAACCTCAGGCAAGTTTTTATTACTGTGTCCCCTCTGGGGAGATTAATCCTCTCTATTTGTCTTGCTGGCCACTATCTCCGGCACTGAAAGTGAACAAAAATCCAAACAATTAAGTTATCACTGAAACAGAAATAGTAACAACCAGGGGCGGACTGACAGCTCATGTTTTTAAAGTGTTTTTAAAAACTGACAACTCATGGGGCCCATGGGCAATTGGGGATCATGGGGCCCCTGTGTCCTTGCCCACAATCAAAACACACCCAAAAAAGCCTATAAAAGGTACCAGGGGCATTTTTTGGGGCCCCCTACTGATGAACGGTCAGTCCACCCCTGGTAACAACTATCTGAGAGAGAGGATATCCCTCATTTTGGAGAGATTTTCTCTAACTTTCTTGTGTCATCAAGAAAGGAAGTGCAGAAAGTGCTCACCAATGGGACACAGGCAGCAAAAACACCTTAGCAGGGGTTGTAGCTATTTTCTAGCAAAAGCATATTGTGTAATGATGCTCTATGGTAAATAGATGCTGTGCGAAATGATACCATAGATAAATTCAGTCTACCATAGATAGATTCAAACTACTGACATTCAATTTAATGAGTAAGACCAAAAGATGGCTTCTGACCTTAAAGAATTAAAAGTGTTTTTAAAAATGTATTGGGTAAAGAATCGTTAACTATGATGAGATTTATGCCACAGCCACAATTGCTGCTGTGCCTTTATTATTAACTGTTTCTTTTTTTTTTCCTTTATTCTTTAAATGCGTCACCAAAGCATACAAGCAACACTGTTTTTTTCCATTTTAAACATATTATTTACATAAAAAAAGAAACATTCTGGCACTCCTTAGTAATTGCTTCTTTGTAGGATCATCATTATACTCTCCAAGGAGAAAACTCCCGTTTATTTTTTCTGAAGCAGTACAATATTTCCGGGCAGTTGATACAATTGTTTTTTTATGGTTTACATGGTTTATTGATTGAATGTTTAGATGTCTAATTTAGCCCATTCCTGGGGACTTTTACTTGTTTTGACTGTACTACATATTTCTCCAGCTAAACCACTGAAACCAAATAATAATTTCAACTAATTCCATGTTGTTAACAAGTCGTACAAAATGGCCAAACCTACAGTTTGTGAATTGTATGTTGCTGACCAAACAAAGCTGTATGGAGACATGAAGAATTACAAGCAAGGAATTTATTGTTATAGTTATTTGATCCTCTGGTATAAACAGTTTAAGGCTTCATTACCAAGAGAACTGGGGCCTGTATACTGCAAAAGGGACATGTTTTGCAGTGTTTCTAGACTCTAGGTGCTGTATGCAGGCTGCCCATTGAAGTCTACACCAGGCCAAAAAAAATCTGATTTAGGCTGTTGAGTTTTATATACCTTGAAGATCAGTAACGCGTTTAAAGGACTAATTTAGACACTGATATGGATGAATTGCTCATCATTTATAGAACAACATAAACATTGCAATATAATGTATGTAAATAGTTCTACTAAATACTTAACTGGTTGCCGACCAGCCACAGTGTTTTTACTGAGGCAGGGCGGCACCGCTGCGCAGAAAGCCGTTTTTAAACGTCGGTCTGCAAAAACAGGTAGGGGGCGCGTGTGAGGCACGTGCCCGCCCTATCCGTCCCGCCGATCACGGCAGCGGGTGTCAATCACCAGGTCCGCCGGGTCTCGGTGATTACCGGCAATCACTGACAGGGAGCACGGCTGCAGTGTTTACACTGATCCTGAGAGTTTATCTCTCTGGATCAGCATCCCGTGAAGCACACACCCCCGCCCCCCTAGTAAAACACTCCTCTCACACAGTTAACCCTTTCATTACCTAAAAAAAGTTAACCCCTTCCTCCCCAGTGCCATTAGTACAGTGTCAGTGT